CCTTTGCAAGCTGTGGGCGTACTAAAAAGTCAAGTTGCTTAGTGCCAGGTGGGTTAGCTGGTATTGCATGAATTGCAGTAGTTTGGATTTATTAATCCAAAAAGTTGTGGTTTGGATTTTCTCTCCCTCTTCCACTTCGTTGTAATTAGCTTGAATGCCTTCTCCCTTGCTCCCTGCCTCTGTCGTGCATTCCCTTTGGTTTTGAATTCCGTGAAATGGAGATGGTGCCAGAGACTGCAGACAGGTGAAATCTGTTGCAGTGGGAATAGCTGGTAATTGGAAAATGACAATGTCTCGAAAATGGGGTTAAGAGGGAAAATACAGCTTGTCCGGAAGCAAAACGCAAATTGACAGTTCATTATGTCTCCTCTTCCTGGTCAGAGTCTCTGCAGACCAGACTTAAAAATATAAAGCAGAAAAACCGACATAAACAAATGCTCAAAATCCCATTGACAGGTTTAGACCCAGGACTAGAGAGGGAAAAAAAGAAAAAAAAAAACACCCAACAACACAAGTGCAAAGGATGTTTATGAGACTAAGTGTTCTGGATTTGTTTACCAGTCCTCTGCATCTCTGCCAGCCTCAGCTCTCCTTGCTCATGAGGAGTCAAACGGCTGCTCTGGGCTTGGGGGAGAATTTCTCAAGCAAAGCACATCTTTCACTCTGGAAACTTCCTTCCCTGAGAGTGCAGCAGGAGGGACCAGGTGTGTCTAACAGCCCTTTTGCTCCCGGGTGGTGCAGGTATGATTAATTTGACTCGGTATCAGAGCAAAAAAGATGCCCTAGCCGAGGCATGGTGCCGTCCTGCTGGTGATTGAAGCTGAGCTGTGTAAAATAGGTGGTTGTGGATGCAGCAATCAAAAGAGACGAGGCAGAAGATGGGTAAGAGGAAAAAGAGAGGCACAAAGCGACAGCGACTTCCTTGAAGAACTGCGGCAATTCGGTCGCACAAAGACAATCTGAGACTGCAAAGTCCTACTCCTGTTCTTCATCTTCTGCTTGTAGGAGCCATCAATAATTTGACCATTATGGGTTTCTCCTTTATTGAATCTCTCCCAGTTCCAGGAAGGCTCTGATGTTGTGCTGCCTCTAGCTAAAACCAGAACTATCAGATTCTCAGAAAGAGACTACTCTTCTGAGGTTTTCAGACCCAAACTATTTAGAAAAGGATTTTTTGTCTGTTTATCTGAACTCCGAATGAACTGCTAAAACATTTGAGGTTTGTCCCTAATAAAAACATGGGTTTGATTCACTGAAATATTCTGCAGTATAAATACGGCCTTCAAAGCGTGCAGAGGTGGTTGTGCTTTCCTGGGATATGTTTTGCCTGGAGTCAAGGCGAACTATTTCTTTAAACTCATATTCAAGGATGCTGAAATCTTACAAATGGATTGGAGACAGTTTCCGCCCTTCGCTTGTAATGGTGGGAAACTTACTCCTGCAGCCAGATTTGAATCTGAACGGAAAGGACAGGTATCACAGCAGGAAAAGATGTGGAGATATCCTGAGCTGATGAGGGGTTGTGCTCTCTCGCAAAAAGGAAGATTTCGCTGATACAGGTTGGAGCCCTGAGGTGGGGAAGTAGTTTCCTTCTGTCAGAATTGTTAAGGTTAACAAGGTTATTTGGCAAGAAAAACAAAAAAATGCCACCTTAGAACTACGTGGTTGGAAGTGCATTGTTTTGATGCCAGCCTTTATTTTCTAACCTTTCCTTGCCCTGCCAGAAAGGAAGTTACCTTTTGTGACACAACCATATCTCAAGCTAAAACCCTGAAATTTCCTTTTCTGAGGAGGTCAAAAGAAGACATTGCAGCCATTTTAAAGCTTTGTTGCAACTTCGTTTTCTCCAGCCAGGAAGTTTGACGGAAGATAATTCTTGCCATGAAAAATTTTGTTTTCAGCAGGTCAACGTTTTGTTTCTCCCAGAGAAAAAGCCTCCTGGAAAAATTCCTGCTCTAAGGTTGGCTTGAATTTGAACAAAACAACAGTGTCTCCTAGTGGCTGAGGAGCGGCCAAATCCATCTGGCTTTCAAGTGTCTCTTCCTTAACCCTCCTCCTAGACCTTTGCTCATCGGAGTGTGAGAAAAGTGGAAAACGAATTGTGCTCTAAGCAACAAACCGTTTCATAAGCCATAAAAATACCTATGGCAGACTCTTTCCGAGGCTCCGGTTGGTGTCGAAAGAAGGTAATTACATTTGAAGGCTGTATCACTGGATGCTTGGCTCGTCTGCAGTTCAGCTTCCACTCTAATATGACAAAAGCTCACATCAGCAGCTCAGCCAGCATGCAGGGCTATCTATCCTTGTCTTTGCCCGGTGGGTCCTGCCTCCGCGTCGCTGCAGGATCACGCTCCAAACATCTCACTTTGCAGCAGAATTAGTTCTGCCTTGCACCAAATATGATCCTTAAAGGATAATGAAGATCTTTTGTCTGAGGCGCAATTGGGTTTGCAGTGCCAGCCTCGCCCGGGCGGTCTCGATCTGCTGGATCAGCTTCTCGTCACAGCTATTGATGATCTCATCTGGACCACCTTGTCCTCTCCTTTCCCTCTTCGTGGTGCCCTTTCTCCCCTCCCCTAAGAGATTGCTGCTGCTTTTTTCCGGCGCTCTCTGAACTCATATATGAAGCAAAAGTCACAGCACTGGAGAGTGAGCAATAAGGACACTAAATTGTCGTAGGAATTTGGCAAATCAATTCAAGCAACGGTATCAGCAGATTAACTGGTTGCAGTGCCATTTGCCCAGCAGGCTGCATAAAAAAATCTTTGAGTGGCTTAGAAAGATGGGACTTGTAGAGACTAACAGCTTACAAATTCTTTTTGCCTGAGGATGTTTTTAAGCTTGATCAGCTTAGGCTTTTCAGACCGGACACTCACCTTTTTGGTTATGGCTCTCCCGAGATTGGCTTTTCGCATTCGCGTAACTCCAGGATTAGGGATTTTGAAATAATCGCCAGCTATCCCGATTATCGTGATAAAATGGTGACTGTGGGCAGCACGTCTGGCAGCATCAGCGAGGTGAGCTTGGCAAACCCTGAACTAAGTTTGGCTTTAGCGATCTGACTGCTGCTGTATTGCAGAACACAAGGTACGATAGGCTGCAATGGGCAGGTTCTCTACATTTCCCAGCAGAAAGAGCTACAGAACAACCCTGTCCCTTCAAAGCTGCCTGAGCCAAAGCTTCCTTGCTGATGATTATGTCCTTAATTTCCCGGCCTCAACACACCAACAAGCCATCCTTGGCCTCCTGTGAACACGCCTTCCCGAGGAGCCCGCAGTCTGCTGCCTGGCGGGACGCAAGAATTCAGCAAGTTGTTTTGCTTCTTGTTAAGAATGCCCTTGGATAACCCTGGCTGAGGGGAGACAGAACGTGCCAGCCATGCTCTGCTCCTGACAAAGAGCTCCAGGACACTGGGGGGTGTTAAGGGAAGGGGTGAGGAGGGCGTCACGGTGGTCGTGCTGTTGGGGCAAGCTGTGCAGCCACCTGGGCCACCCCTTGCTAGAGACTAAAGAGCTGAAAGCTGCCCAGTCCTTTCCCTGGTGTCCCTTAGTAATTAGCGTGTATGGATTATAATCATGAGGACTGAGGCTCTTAGTGCTCTTTCTCCTGGATAAATGGTTGAGCAAAAGACAGTCTGTTGCATAAAGTAATTTAGCCTATGAATGATGGTTCATTAGCAGGCCACTGACTGTCGCTGCCTATAGCAGGGGATGTGTGGGCTCTTCCTGCATCCGAGTTAACTCTTTCGCCCTCTCCTTCAATTGCCAAGGACTGAGTTTGTGACTGTGCAAAGTATTACAAGGGTCTTCTCCCTTGAGAGCCTCCAGTAACGCAACAGCATCCCCAAGAAACTGCCAACCCTTAACATAGCGTCTGATGATGGATGGGGAATAAAGGAAGCTATTATCAGTCAGGAGATGAGTCAGATATGAAAATAACGCCTTCTTCTAGACAATATTATTACACCGAGGAAATCAAAAAGACTCGTTTTCTTTTGCGAAGGAGGAGGCCTTGAGCGTTAGGAATGCGCGTTGCAGAGCCTCGCGCTGTGCGAGGGAGTAGCTCCAGGAAGCGAGTGAACCCCATCGCACCTTTTTGCTTCTGTCCCTGCTGTGGCACGTTTTGGAGCCTGGATGCCGGGCTGGCATTGCTGCACTTCCTAGGAAAGGAACATTCATGGCTATGTCTGAAAAGCAAGATTGTAGCCCAAAGTAATTTGGTGCTGGTGGTAGAGGATTGTTGGGTTTAAGCTACGTGCAGTCTGGTGTGCTCAGGGAAACCCACACTGATCCTGGAGAGGGAATCATGAAGTTCAGGGCCGTACTTACTCTCATTTTAGCAAAATCTCTTCTATACTACTAACCGGGACTTCAGAGGGAAAAATCATCCTGGGTTTTTTGGAGACAGTTTTCAAAGGGAGATAAGTATCTCAAAAAGGTAAAACTATTGATCCTACTGGCTTTCACTGGTATTTATTTTCCTAGTTTTCTTAAGAGATGTCTGCAAGAAAAGTGCCTTGTTTGTATAGGGACAGAGCTTCACTGTATTGACTGTGGTCGTGCTTTGGCTGTAGCGGTACCTATAAAGCCCTGCTGGGGTTAATGACATAAAACCAGCCTGACCAGTGCAAGTCCAAATAGAAACCTTATGTACCATGCTAGCCATTCACCTGGATAATTGTATCTTCCAGTGGTGAACAAGCCCTCTCCTTTGCATAGCTTTAGTTCTTTGGGCCCGTGTATTGGGCACAGTTGTTCTGCAACAGCTCCAGAAATGGGCTGAGATCCCATGTTTCCGGTAACAGTCACAGAGACTGTCCATGAGGTTTGTCTGCTGGTCCCCTCAGACACTTCTCTGTCTCCATGGCTTTACAGAAGAAACACGGTAACCTGTATAATTTGTGCATCATTAGCACAAATCCCAGAGCAGGAGGAATGTACCAGCCTTTAGCCAATTCCTCCGTGCGTTTGTTTGACCATGTTGCTTTTTTTGCCCCGTAGCCGGATGAGTTGACCAACGCCTTGGAGATCAGTAACATCGTCTTCACAAGCATGTTTGCCCTGGAGATGCTCCTGAAACTCCTTGCCTTTGGCATCTTCGGCTACATCAAGAACCCGTACAACATCTTTGATGGAATCATAGTTGTCATCAGGTCACTGCCAGTTCTTTCTCCACTGTGGCTTTTCTGCCAAGGACTCAGACCGGTTGGGGAGTGGGATGGGGAACAGCAATGACGTGGCGTGTTTTAATCCAGGGCTTGCTGGCTATGATGTGCTATGATTATGCTGGCCTTTTAGATTCCTGTCATTAGAAGGGCTGTCCAAAGTAAATGGACCTGGCAGATGGAGAACAAAGTCTATTTACGCCACACAGCTGGCACAGTGGTCAATTTTCCACTGAAGTGCAGAATAGCCTGTCCTGAGAAAGCAGTACTGTGAGTGTCCATATCCCAGCAGTGTGCCCTCCCTCTCCCAAATCAACACGTAACTCAGACCAGAATAGGGCGAGCGGGAGGGTAAGAGAGGGCACTGTCCTCTCGCAGGGGCACATTATGCTACCCTGAACTGGAGATGTCACAGCATGTGGGCAGGAACCTTGTGCAGCACCTCCCTGTGCTAGGATTCTTTCTAGCAGTGCCATTCGATCAATAATTTGGGGCAAAAAAGGTTACACAGAAGGTGTAACCCAGGATAGTGCTCCTGGCTTCAGTCAGCCCATCCCTTTGATTCGGAGGAGTGAGGAGCAGCAGAGGCTCAGAACAAAGCCCAGTCTGCAGCCTGATCACACCAGCCCACCCCAGCAAATGTAAATCCTGCTGGATATTAGCTTGGTACTAAACCATGATCTACATTTTGTGGCTAGACTTGAAACTGGTTGTAGTGATTCAGACTAGCAGGAGATACGCTGTGTTGTGAAGAAAGCGAGGCAATTAAAGAATCGAGAAACCGGCTATAAAGGATATGGGTCGTATGTCTGTACAACTGGGAAATGAAGGTGTTCTTCAGAAGCAAGAAAGCAGCAGGCAAACAAACTACCCCTGTAGGGCTTAAGGGCTGTGATACCCTGTACGAAACCAGCCTGCTCAGGGCTTTCATGGTACTGTGCTGCTGTTTATCGTTCTTCTCTTCGTGGTGTTTCTGCAGCGTCTGGGAGATCATCGGCCAGTCGGACGGAGGCCTCTCCGTGCTACGAACGTTTCGGCTGCTCCGGGTGCTGAAACTGGTGCGTTTCATGCCCGCCCTCCGTCGCCAGCTGGTGGTCCTGATGAAGACGATGGACAACGTAGCCACCTTCTGCATGCTGCTCATGCTCTTCATCTTTATCTTCAGGTATGGGAGGCTGTAGCTCTTCTTTGACTAAGTGTTCAGCTTGCCTAGGTAAGCTGTAGAGTAGAAGGACCATACACTGCGTTTGCCAGGCTGCCTACCTGGTAGAAATGCTCACAATGGGCTGACAAGCTGATGCTCAGCTAAGTACCTCTTTTCAGTCTGTTTTTCATGCAGTACCGTGATTCTGTAGATGAATGCAGTACACAAACAGGCAGCAATTGCTCTGGAGTTCCCGGGAGGCACATTCAACTGTATTTCAGGAAACTGTCAGTAACTGGACTCTATCAGTGTTATGTCTGAGATGGAGGTTGTACAGACTCCAAGACTTCCATCTCTTTGGCCCTATGATGCTCCTAAGCATCCTGTTCTTGGAAACCAGTTGGATTAGGGAGCTGGCGACATGATTTGTCATTTTCTAGACAAAAGGGATCCCTGATTTGATTTCAGTGTAGACAGTTGTAACAAAATATGGCATAAAAGAAGTGAATAACAGGGTTTGGTCAGTGATCCCATCAGTCGTGGAGCAGGGCCCTTCTTCCTGGAATATACCACTGGCACACAAAACACTGCAGGGGGAAAAGTGTCCAAAAAATCCCTGCAGTCCTCCCTGCAACCATGTTTCACACAATAATGTGTTTCTTCTGTCTTCCTTATTTCCCCACTGTAGCATTCTCGGCATGCATCTTTTTGGATGCAAGTTCAGCCTGAAAACTGATACGGGAGACACAGTTCCAGATAGAAAGAATTTTGATTCCTTACTTTGGGCTATTGTGACTGTATTTCAGGTAAGCTCTGGATCCTCTGGGAAGTTATTTCACTGATTAAAAAAGCACCAAGTATTCCAGTAGGTGTGAAGTTTAGACAGAAACAGCACTGTAGGGTATTAGCTCTACAGTTAGTAGAGTTACAGGGCAAAGTGATTATGTTTCTGAGTTAGCTGGTCTCTATAGGCTCTGACAGAGAAGCAGTCTACCCAAAATTATCACTGTGCATATCTGCACTCAGTAAAAGTAAAGTCTAAGAAGGCCTGGAAATCTGCTCTTATTTTCCTTTCAAATAGTTCATATTTTCCTTTCATATAGATCAAGAACCACAATCTACTGTTCCTTCTGCTGCTCCTAGTCTCTAGATCTCTGTCTCCTTACTTGCCTTCATTGCCCCAAAAGTGCACTTTGCAAACAATTTCATTTAACTGGGAGTGGCAAATACTGTCACAAATCAGAGCTGGAGGTGCTGGCTTTAAGTGCGGGGAAAATCTTTATATAAAAAGTTGTGTTTCCTCTACAGACAAGATCTGTGATGTGCTTGAAATTATTGGCATATCCCACAATTGGAGTAATAAGCTGCTACTTCCAGGACATTCTAAATGTCACGATTGCTCTTTTCTGTTTAAAAACTCAATCTTCAGAGCCCAAGTGGAGCATGATGTTAAGCTGAATTTCTAAATGCAGAGCAGGTATTCACCACCGTACCATTCAAAGCAGAAACCAGTCCAGAATCTTCTCTGTGAAGAGTATGACTTACAAAGGAGCAAGGACAGATCAGTATTAGTCTCACAGGTTCACATTTTTCTTTTACCAATGTAACTACAGATTTCTGCATTTATTCTGACAGTCCCTCGGGAAATAGAGTTGGCACAGAGTGCAAGGGCTCAGTCCTGCGTCCCACGAAGGTCACTGAGTGGCATGACTCAGTGCAGCTGACTGCATTCCTATCCCCAAAGCCACCTTGTTTTTAGGAAGGTTAGAAGCCATTTTCGTTATAAGTATGAATTGATGTGGAGCATGAATCTCTCATTCGTTTTTCTCAAGCTGCAGAATTTTTGAGCTCCAGAAAAGGAGAGTGGGAATCCCTGAGGAAGGTCCTTTGGAGCAAGGCTTTGCAAACATGTGGGAGTTTTTGCCCACCTTGTCAGTGCTTTTACCTAATGGGAACCACTTTGTTTCCTTGAGTTTCTTGAGCCACCCGATGTCATTTATCTTGTCAAATACTGTATCCCTTACCCTTTCCTTCAGCTCCAGATTCCTTATAAAGAGCAGCCTGAAAGGAGACAACAGCTCTGGTCTCAGGTCTGTTATTTTCTGATGGCTACCAAAGGAGACAATACCATCACCAAATAAAGGGACTCTTATCAGCACATCCTTCACGTTACTGTATCTAGGATCTGAACTTGTCATCTCTTTGTGCAGCGGTGTGCTAGATCTTCCTGCAGAGAGGCGAGGTTTGGCAAGGAGAGAGTGCTCACATGCAAAGATCTAAATAAGAGAATGTTTTGCTGTCTCATTTTGTGAGACCTTCTAATGATTATGCTTAGAAAAGGTCAGAAGGAGAGGAAGAAATGGATGAGTCAGTGTTTGAATGTATCTGCTGTGCATGAGAGGTGTGGAATAATTAAAGAGTCTACCCCTTCACCTCTCTGCAGATCCTCACTCAAGAGGACTGGAACGTGGTCCTGTACAATGGAATGGCATCTACATCCTCGTGGGCAGCCCTCTACTTCGTGGCCCTGATGACTTTTGGCAATTACGTGCTCTTCAACCTTCTTGTTGCCATTCTCGTAGAAGGCTTCCAGGCAGAGGTAAGAGGTCTGAGCAAAGGGAAGGAGAAAACTGAGAAGCGTGTGTAAGCAGGACTGTAGGGATGAAGCCATGTCAGTGCAAACGTCTAGCCATGCAAGCAGCCCGAAATTTAACCGTATGGGGTGTAGGTGAGCTGGGTTGGGCATGTGAAGCTCTCATGAATCTATCGTTGCACATAAGGCCCACGGAACTTGGCATGGCACTTGGGAGAGCAACACTTCGGTTGATCTGCTGCAGGATCTGTTGCGTGGCCTAAGGGAAAGAACTTAGGATGAATTTAACTTGCCGAATCTCCCACATGTCCTCTGTTTGGTGTTTCTTTATGGTCAGCCAGTGCTAGTCACGGGGACCAGGTGTGGTGTGAACTAGCTCACAGTCCCGACCTTCCCTTGTTCCTTACCTGCCCTCTTGGAGGTTGAATCATCTGCTAATGGGAAGGCAGAAATGGGCAGCCTTGTGCAGTACCCTCTGAGTGCAGGGTTCCAGCACCAGCCGCATGGCTGACGTTTTCTTGCTCGGGCTTAATGGCTCCTTTTGGAGCTGTTATGGACCATGATTTAACTGTGTGTAAGGAGCAGTTTTCAAAACTTGTATTATTCACTCGGTGCTGCCTCAGAAAAGGCCAGCAACCACAGGCATGACATTTGCAGGGCACGTTTTACTCTCAGCTTGTATTTATTATAAATCCTGACATGAAGCCTACGGGCTTGTCAGTTGTTTTCTAGTGAGGTATTAGCTGTGTTACAAAAAAACCCTTCTCAGGGCTGTATTTCAATGCTGCCGGGGCTTGACTGAAGTCTTGCACGTATACACACATAACTTAGCTCTGGTTGTAAACCAAACATGTTTGCAGACTCCTTGGACGACTCTCAGGAAGAAGTACCGGTGGAGCTAGGTTTTCTCATCATCCCAGGTTCTGCTGGTATGCTGGGAATAGGGCAGAAATTCTTGTTTTGACCTCTTTGACTTTGCCCACTTACAGGGTGATGTGCTCTTAGCAGTTGTAGCAGCCACCAAGGTGCACTTCTCCTCCTTTTGCTCAGGTGTTCCTTTCACTTAGATGGAGAGTGATTCCTGGGAGACTTGTGCAGCTCAGAGGGTGCACATTTGAGCTGCTCTAAGCTCTGAACCATTGGCAGCCTTTCAGTAAGGACACGGAAAATTATACTGTACACAGACTCCATTTGATCTCACGTTCTGATCTGCCTGTGGAGCAAGTTTGGCAGGAGTATCCCTAGAAGAGAATAGGCTTAAATGGCCACAAAGGCATTTTTAGTACATTTGTGCTCAGGACAACAAGCAGCCAGACTTCAAACGGGACCATAATTGCATGTTTGTGCTTAGATTGTTCCCATGTCATTTTGAAATCTACCCCAGAGCTGCTCTGGAAGAGCAAACAAACCTTCCAAAATAATGCAGATCTTTCATCTACTCTGCACTTGTGCTTCCGCTCCAAAACAGAAAAGATGAATAGGGGAGCTTAAGCCTTTCAGTCATTCTGTCTGTTTGGCTGCAGCAGTTACCGATACGTCACAGATGAAATTAAGTTCACTGCCACTTCAGCACCATGTGTCTAGAAACCATGGTGATTTGTTCAGACATCAGTTAAGGAACTGCACTCCTTTTTCTAGGATCAACTGCTTTAATCCAACCGTTTGCTACGAATTTGCCCAGCTTTTCTGCAGCCTTGATGGCTCAAGCCAGAGTTATGCCGACAGCCTGCTGGAATCTCCCCTCTCTGCAGAATCCCCCAACACAGGAGAGCCTGACAAGAGCTCTTCTGTCCCAGGCTTGTACATTATTTAGACTGAGCATTTTTGGTCGCAGAGGTAGATATGTACAAAAGGGGAAAATAACTAGACTTCCAGGAAGAAAGCTAGTCTGAGGGTGGTTGGCTGTTCTTTGTCCTGAGATGATGCTGTGCCTCCAGGCAAGCTGCCCTCATTCCCTTCTGCCTCGGCTTCAGTGTTGCCAAGAGATTTTCCAATACAATCTCGATTAGCAGCCAGCATGAAGAAAGCAAATGAGAGCTGCGTGTTCAGATCTAAGTCAAATTTACAGTGCTGTCAAACAAAGAAGAAAAACCCTTCGACATCCTTTGACACTAAAACTTCAGTGCTTTCATCTGGGAACATGGAGACTCCAAATGTGGAACCCCACAGTGCCAGTTTTTCTTAGCCACTCCTCTGATTACAACTACACTTTTGTGTTCTTCCCCAGGATGCACCATGACTGGGTGCAATGTAGGAGGCACATTGACAATGCAGGAACAATAGTCACAGTCACAACATCACCCTTTCTGTCCAAGCACGAAAATGAATTAAAGAAGAGGGACTTCTCCGGGGTCATTCCCCAGGGCAATATCAGAGGGAATTTGGCATTTTGTCCTCCTGGTTCTGGGGGCCACACTTGTAAACCAGCCATGGGGAGCTGAGGTTTCTCTGAGCTGCGAAGTGATCCACACAGCCTTTGTGCTAAAGTTTAAATGAATCGGATCTGTTAATTATCCTTCTCCTCCATGCAGGGTGATGCCAATAGGTCAGACACAGATGAGGACAAGACATCTGCCAACTTCGATGATGATTTTGAGAAGCTGAAGGATCTCCGAGCAACAGGTAGGGTTTTGCTGCTACATTTTCCTGGGAATCTGAGAGCTACAGCTCGGCTTCCAGAGTGATCTTTTCAAAGAAACTTATATGGGAAAGTGGAAGAATCCATCTTATTTGGCAATTAAGCTGCTAGCTATGTTAACAAAGCAGCTATGCAGAAAGTGTTGGGAAAGCTAAACGACTATTGATGTTTCCTTTAAACAGATGTTTTTCTAATTTAAACTGTACTGGAATATTTAGATACGTCTCATCGTTTCTTCTGTATCATTACCGCACAATGGTTTGCTGACAGCAATATTCTCACGCTACTTCCCAGCAGCTTTTCAAATCAATCATGTTCTCATCTGTTCTTTTTGGTTTCTCACGCAAATGCATTTAGGTGAGGTTTGATTGATGGAAATGTTGCTGTTCGTTTGTGTTTACAGGAGGGCCTGACAATTAATTTGAATTAAGGCCACGCTGGACTAGTGTACTATGAGCATGGAATAGTGTTGAAAATCACAACAATAGTAGGTGACAGCCTTCACTCTGTAGAGTTTGTAACAAGATAGGGGAAAGGAAGGGATCACGTGTTTCAACAGAGTGCAGACCATGATGGTAAACAGGAGCCAGTTTAATTCCTCTGTACTTTGATTCTTGGCTTGGGCTCTTACTAGGATTACTTTAAATGCTTCTAAACCAGGATTCATTTCAACTAAGGAAATTATATTGATTGTGGTGAGCAGATGGAATTCAGCTGAGGAAAGCGCAGAAGTAATTTGTTGGGGAAGCCGAGACAGAGCTGGATCACTGCAAGGTGATGGAGCTGCTCAGCCTGTAGATGAAGCAGCAGATTCCAAACACCAAGTGATCCAATGAATGTCCATTGCAAATAGTTGACAAGGAACCCACAGCACCAGCTGGGCACCTGCTTTGCACCGACAATTTGCTGAGCATCTTCAAATAATAAGAGAGTTCTAGGGAAAAGAAATATTGTCACCTCTTCACAGGTAACGCAGGAATAGAAAACAGGGCTGAACTTGCCGTCAGTCGAAGTCCGCGAGTAATTGTGTGTCTCCGTAAGTCTCAGAGGTGCCAACTGGTGACTAAACAGCATAAGGACATTAACAATTCTATTACAATGCCATTGGTCTGTAAATAGACACACTGGCAAGAGGGACGTGTGTTGCAGAGCAGCAAATTTTGAGCTGGATCTTCCACCCCTCTCAAAGTGAATGGCAGTGTTCCCGTGGACTTGTGTGGTGCAGATCAGGTATTTGTGCACAAGCCAGCAACTAAACAGCCGATCCAACAGAAGCGCACTGCGTTACAGAAGCAGCTAGTGGAAGAAAAATAGCAGGGGTAATGCTCTCTCTTGGATTTCTCACTGCAGACTTTAGTTTTGTGTTTGAAATTGCGCTTTTGGTTTTGAGTACTGCGGCATTCCACGGGGCTGGAGATGCTGCGTCTGGCTGATCTTCGGTGTGAGCGCGGTTTTTGCAGTCTGTACTTCCCATACAGCTCTAATAGGTGCCTTCTGCAGTTACCGCAGAGATGTGCCATTAGGTTTCTCTCTTACAGGAGGTTTCCTCTTCTAGACAGGTGGGTGGTAAAAGCAACTTCTATTTCCTGTCACCTGAACAGATGACTAAAGGCAATGACCAATTTTTGCTCAGTGCCTTCCCCATGAAGGGACTTAGAGCACATCAGAACTGCATAAAAATCCCTGTGCAAGACAAGGAGAAGAGATGAACTTCCTAGGGTGAATTTAACCAGTCCACAATGTCCTTTCCAAGGAAATTCTCTCCGAGTCCCCCAAAACTGTAGGTCCACTCTCCAAATCCCAAGAAACAGTGAGCAAAAGAAGCTTCCTTTGAAGGGCACGGAGTTCCAAATCCAGGCAGAGCTAAAGTCCTCTTAAAAGGTTGTGACATTTGCCGTACGCCTTTCAGTGTGATGAGGGTGATCTTATTGCCTGCAATACGTCATCTCCATTTGACAGAGTTCCTAGAAGATCCCAGGAGCAGTGTCTATTTTGAAGAGGGATTTCTGTAGCTGTAGCTGAGTGGTCACCTCATACCTTCTCTCTCCTCTTCTCTCCAGAGATGAAGATGTACTCACTTGCCATCACCCCAAACGGACACCTGGAGGGCAGGGGAAGCATGCCACCTCCTATAATCATGCGCACTGCTGCCACCCCAATGCCTACGCCGAAGTGTTCCCCTCACATGGATTCAGTGCACACTTTTGTGGACTCGAGGAGAGGGAGTAACGCTTCGCTAGACCCCTTGAGCTACGATCAGAAGTCCTTGGTAGGTTCCTGTTGCTAACAGCTCTCCCTCACGCGCCTGCAAGCGGCACAGGTGATGTATATGTGTGTGCACCCGTGTTGCTGGAAAATAAAAAGGAGGGTGATAAGAGTTGAGAGGTATGTGGAAAGGCAGGAGAACAGAGTCAAGAGGGAGAAAGGAATGGGTGTGCTCTGCTGGAGTAGGACAGTGACAACGTAACAGTCAAGGACAATGAGTATGTGAAGAGGGGAGGCAGGGATGTACTGGGATTCAGTGTTTTCCTGCCTAGGATCTGACTGGAAGTCCATGCCAAGCTACCTCACCAGAGAGACAAAACCTGAGACAAATTTTAAGTTCATGCAGTTGTTCCAGCAAACCCCTCTGAGGAGGAGCAGACATCTTTGGCCAACCACACGGGCCATTTTGTGGTGCCTTGGAGAAGCTGTTCCCGTGCGGAGGAGGCCAGCTTCCCCTGGGAGAGGGGGAGGGTTTAGGGTTTTGTCCGGAATTCACCTTGTGTCAAAGGAAAGGAAGCATTTGTCCTCACCAACGCAGCTGAGCTCCAGTTACAGTGCAGCAGCCCCATTGGAGGGGAAGCAGAGGAAACGAGGTATGAACTGACCGATTGCCGCAGGGCACAGCTCGTGAAGCAGAGATCTGGCTGGAGCTGACTGCTTTGGCAACTAAATGCATTTTGCCTGCAACAGGGGAGCAAGAGGGCAGCTCTGTGAAAACAGAGGGAGCAGAGTTAATAGACAAAGTGGATTTCTGCCGCTGCTTATCTATCCCATTCCTCTGCTCTGTAACTGCAATATCATGTTCAAATCAAGGCAGCGGACCGTGAAGGCATTTCACACAGAAACAGAGCCACTATCCCCTTTGGTAAGCTGCTTAGTCAAGGTAATGCTTTTGAAAAGAAAATAGAGATGACTGTTATTTGCCTTGAGGTTTCATGGGATTGTGAGCTGCTGGAGAGGCGTTGTTCATGGTTTGAATCTTTTCTCTGAGAGCACATCGGTGCCACCAGCCAAAGGAAGATAAAGCAGTCAGAGGAGAACTGGCCAACCCCGAGAAGGAGGAGGAAGGCAGCTGGCCTCGTTTGGTGCTGGGAGGAAGCCATGGAGGGAAAAAGGAGTTTCCCTTCTAGCTTTTCTGCTCTGACCTTAAGTGCTCACATCCTTGCAGCTACCTGCCAGCCAAAGTGCACTGACACACTGCTCGGTGCCAGAAATCTGCTGTAAAAGAAACATTCGTTTTATCTCTTTATGCAGCAAATTGAAGAGGAAGTAATGCAAATGGGGGCACAGTTTCCAACAGACACTTGTGTAGATCAGGTGCCAGAGACTGTTTGGAAGCCAGGGAAGTTGTAGGCTGAAACCGCTTGAACGCAAGGAAAGAAAAGGCTACTTTAGCAATAGTGTCTTTGGGTTTGGTTTTTATGGACCATTATTGTTGGGGGGAGGACAGTAGGAAGTCATGCAGCACAGAGGGTCAGTAGCTGTGCTACAGGTGTGGTTCAGAGGCTGCCCTCAGTGTGGGCTTAGCTGGGTTCTTGGCTTCCAGCTCAAGGCCTTGGCCTGATGAAACCAGAGCAGTGAGGAAAGCTGGAAGGAGAGGGCACGACTTGAAACGGGAAGGGTCTTCCAGTCTCGGCAAAATGCCACATCCTTTGGCTTCCTCCTGCAAACAAACCCTCAAATGTCTTTCTCCTCTCTCAGTCCAGCCTCCGCAGTTCTCCTTGCGCCAACTGGGGCACCAACAGCAACTGGGGAAGCCGACGCTCGAGCTGGAATAGCCTAGGCAGAGCCCCGAGCCTCAAGAAGAAGAATCAGTCGGGAGAAAGAGAGTCCTTGCTCTCAGGGGAGGGAAAAGGCAGCACAGACGATGATTCCGATGACGCCAAGTCCAGCACGGTGAGCAGGCACTCCTTGCACCACCGGGCAGAGTCCCTGGAGTACCGCAGCTCTCTGGACCTGCCGGAGCTGCTCCAGTTGCCCACCGTGCGCCACTCGCTCAGCATCAGCCCCGTGGCCGTTCTGCCTGCCGAGTACCAAGACTGCAATGGCAAGATGGTTCATGTCCCCAGCGAGTTCTTCCTGCGTGTCGACGGCCACAAGGAAGATGCCGTGGACTATGAGGATGACATGGAAGATGTGAGTGGAGGGGGAAATTGGGCGTTTGTGAGTTAAGTGGCTTTTCCACTCCAAGAAGGCTGATAAAGAATTGGGCTTTGAAATGTGTTACTGCCTAATGCCTAGTGTAGACAAAATGAATCCAGACCCGAGGGGTGGGCGTCTGCTTCTCAAAAGGTGGGGGTCTTGCTTTGTTTTATTCATATCTCACTGCACAGCAACCCCTTTCTTCGACCTCTTTCCTCCCTGTTTTGCTGGTCAACAGTGACAGTGCCTGCAACAGGCATTGTTCTGAGAGCCGTGACTCCCTGCAGGCACTATGAAATGCCGTGTGCTGCCCTCTTTCACAAAAGGACTGTGAAAGTTGAAGAGGCAGGAAAATAAAAGAGGAAGAAAAGGTGTTTCTTCTTTTCTATGCAGAGTTACTGCTACCGGATTCGTAAAGCCCTGGAGCCCTACAAACCGCAGTGGTGCAAGAGTCATGAAGACTGGTCCCTCTACTTGTTTTCCCCACAGAATCGGTAAGAAATCCCTGTGAAGCGCCAGCCCACCAGGTTTTTGTGGTAATGGAATACTACATTCTAGCTAGGCTTCGCTTGAGAAGAGTCCCTCTCTGATGTAGGAGCACTGAGATTTTTAGAAATCTGACTCCTGATTTTTAGGTAACTTTCTCTGTTATGTGTGGGCAGAATTGTTGCATGGCTCACTCCATCCCTGTCTAGGAAGAGGAGAGGTTTAACCAACATTGGTAATAGCGGGTATTACATCTTTTTTACTGTGTTGATAATAGTGGCTGAAGCTTGTGGAGGGACTAGCTCACCACTGGCGCTGATGCTGGTGTCAGAGCCACTGATAACTTTCGAGGACGTGCCATTCGAGTGGAAGTCTTCTGCTGACCCAGACATCTAAAAGATCTTTTTCTCCCCACCGTTTCTTCAGGTTCCGAGTGATGTGCCAGAAGGTCATTGCTCACAAAATGTTTGACCACGTGGTACTGGTCTTCATATTTCTCAACTGCATCACAATAGCTCTGGAGCGACCGGACATAGACCCACACAGCACGGTGAGTGCCAGAGTCTTTTTTTCCTTGATGTTGCATCCAGATCTTAGACAAGATCTTAGGCCCTGACAAAACCCAAGACAAGATACACCCAAGACAAAACCCAAGACAAGATACACCCAAGACAAAACCCAAGACAAGATACACCCAAGACAAAACCCAAGACAAGATAAACCCTAGACAAAACCCAAGACAAGATAAAAGATGATGGTTTTCTAATGTCTTTAAATAACTTGCCTCTTTGTTGTTCTACATTTTACAGGAAAGAATATTCCTAAGTGTTTCTAACTACATCTTCACTGCAATCTTTGTGGCTGAAATGATGGTTAAGGTAATTACATCTTCATCCCGTGGCCCATACTGAGGCCTGGCAAAGACTAGCACACGACATGGTTATGGTCTAGGTGAAGATTTAAATGCCTCTCTTCTCCTGGCTGTAGGTGGTAGCTCTCGGCTTTTTCTCTGGGGAGAACACCTATCTTCAGAGCAGCTGGAATGTTCTGGATGGAGTCCTCGTTTTTGTATCTATCATTGACATTATTGTCTCCATGGCATCGGCAGGCGGAGCTAAGATCCTGGGTGTCCTTCGCGTTCTGAGACTTCTGCGGACCTTGAGACCTCTCCGGTACGTTCGCTAAGAGGATGGCTGAATTTTCTTTGTGTTGATAGATGAAGGAGTTTGAAAGCACACACATGATCCATCAAGGTCTTGCTTAACAACACAAAAAGCTGAAACACAGTGCGGGTAGAATCATCTCTGAGGAGCTCTTATCTAGCGAAACTGTTTGAAAACAGTGAAATTATGTATAATATAGTTCAGCTTCCCCAGCATGGAAAAGAGCGGATGGAGTTTGGAGAGAGAGGTGTTATCGTACTCCGGCAGTTAGTGCAGTGAATGCCTCCTCCACGCTGCATTTTTATCACCGTACTGCAAATCAGTCTGGCTCCTTGCTAAACCGCACAACCTCACAGTCATTCCCAAGCAAAGAGGCCGCCTTGGCTGGGGGAGGATTTGCAATTGAACAGGTGCTGGCAATAATTTGATAAGCTCCAGCATCTCTACCTGCTCTCCCGTGCCTACATAGCTAACATTACTGCGAAACGATTTAGCTCTCAGCTAACAAGAGGAAGGGGAGACGCTTTCAACATCTGAGAAAAGGAATAAAGAGAATTTGTATTTTGTTTATGATTATGCAGTAACAAAGAGCGTTAATGCTCGGGGGACTTTTATCAGCTCACGGCTCCTGTTCTGTTTCCATCCTGCTTGGCAAGAAACACAAGCCTTTTTTCATGAGATTTCAGGGGAAATAAGATAGGCACCTGCTGAGACCTGTAGGCTTTCTGAATAAAAGCTGCTTGCTTACGAGAGCAAAAGGAAGAAGCAAGCTTGTTTAGGCCCATGACCACAAGAACAACAGCTATTTGGCTCCCGCTCTGTATTTCCTTAGTGACAAGTATCTCTGTGAGTATTTCTGTCTCCTCCCTTGCTCGCACGCTCTGTTCTGCTGGTGGCATCGGCATCTCCATGCAATGCTGGCTCACCAGGAGCCACTCTGGGTCACCCTGGACAAGCCCTGGCCTGGCAGGACCGTGGAGCACCTGCCTAACACACATAACGAGAAACAGAAATCAGGGCATAGGCAGTTCATAAGAAAATTGGTCTCAGAGAATAAGTAGGCCAGAAACTATTAATAGAGAGGAATTCATCACCTCTCACAATGGCTTCACGTATCACAGCCTCTTCTAGGATTACTCCAGGGACCATCCCTAACACTTCGTGGGTGCAGTTCAGACTGCCGCAGTATTTGCTGCCAAACCAGACCTGCAGCACACAGCTCTCCTCTTTGCTCTGCCTTTGGCAGGCATGAAAGCATCATTAGCCGTGCAAGCTATGGGCAAGGACTCGTGCCCTCTCCCCCTCTACAGCCTTCTCCTAAAAAAGGCTTTGATGTTCTTCAGTCAAAACACGCGCCTTCCCGGGAAAGCTCGCTAGGGCTGGTGACACTGATGTGTGCAAATGCATTATTCAGGCACCTACAGGAGAGCTCAGGCACCCACGGGAGAGCCATTCTCCAGACACCCATCCGGGAAAGGAAAACATTTGTTCTCCTTAGTACCCAGAAGCCGCTTCGGGCCATGCTCAGAGCACGCCTGGCCTCTCGCAGGCTCACAGCAAGCTACCCCTGAATGGGCTGACCTTTTGGCTGTGGAGCTGTTGATCACAAGTTCCTGTTAGCTAAGAGTCAGTTCGGGAACTAATTAGGAAACAAATTGAAATTACTCCATCTGAAGAGTTGTCGTGTGGCCCAAGCAGTAGGGCAGGTGAGCACTTGTGCCCAGAGAAAGAAGACAAGACGAGCTCTCTGGTACCGCTGGGATCTGCTTCCCGGGCTGCGTTAGGAAGCAGAGTCCTGCCTGCTCTGTGCTCCTCTGCTCGTCAGAGAGACCTCAGAGGGGATCAGCTCTCTGGACTGAGGTACAAACAGCCCTGTAGCCATCTGCCATATTCTGCCTGCAAAGAGTATTCCTTCCTCACTCTTCCTGCTAAGCAGTTGCCCAACACCCTGCTGACAGGGTGTCTTACGCTTTCTGTAATTCCACCTAATGTGACCGTGAGTGTTCTGGTTGTCCAGATAAGTCATTAATTGTCTCTGAATGCTAAAAGCAGGGAAAGGAGGGTTGTGTTAGCTTTACTGAAGCCCAAACAGAAGGAAATGTATATAATATATATATATTTATA